GTGGCCCACAGGTTCAGTGGGCTTTCCATGAGAAACTTGTCTGCAGATTTACAGAGCAGCAGGTTCTGCCCGTCTGTGGGTGGCTTGAGCAGCTCCAACCTGTGCTGCTGTGGGGACTGGAAGCCTGTAGGAATGACTCAAAATCCACTCCTTCAGTGTTTATCTCTGGACGTCTGTATGGTTGGTTACAGGCGACAGCTCCATGACCAGTTTTACACTTTTGGAGCGTATATGATGCCTGCTTGCGCAGGCATCTCACTTGTACTCGTTTCCCTCTTTTTGAAGGGACTGGTTTGTACTTCAAGGTTTCTTAGCCCATTTCTTAACATATGGCCAAAGGGTCTGTGAGGCTATGAAGTGGGCATGAAAACACTTCACGTTTCACAGAGATGTTGTGTGGTTTGAATAGTTAATGCACGCGTTAGCATATTCAGAGCTTCACATCAAAAGCAGTTGTGTGTAAATACAGATTTCTGCCACTATACAGACAGCTAGTCTCATGTTATTTCTTATTCCCCTACTTCCCTGTGGGGTTTTATAGGTAACAGTAGTCAAAATAATAATGTAATTTTCTATTTTTATAAGGACTCAGCAGTTAACATTCATTGCCAGACTCCTTTTCATGTCTGGCAGCTCTACAGATCTTTGGGTTGTGTGACTAAATTGTACTCATACGAAGCATACCATTAAAACGGAGGAATGGTTGTTCAACAGATTAAGGACTCCTACTATCAAGTACTTAAGGTGAACTTAAAAAAATACTGAAAGACCTGCTTACATAGATTAAAAAAAACAATAAACAAACAATGCCCCACTCCCTTCAGATTCCCCATGTGTCCCATGTAATAGGTGTATTAAAAATCAGTCTGTTGTTTGGCTAACGCTTTGAAGTGGTGTAAATGGTTGCAGACAGCAAAAGAAGTCCTGCCTTGCCAGCGTTCGCAGAGTCTCGTTCCTTTTTGGCCACATCCGTTCTGAAGCGGGTGAGGCTACTGATGCCCTGCCCTCTCCGGCCACCGCATCCATGGGTTGGCAGAGAGGTGTGGTGGCACAGGCGTGAGCATGAACACTTGGGGGCAAAGGCATGTGGGACTGCACCTTGAGGGCTGGCTTATTAAATGACAAATCACAGAAATCTTTTAAGACTCCCAGATTAGTGTATTTACTATAAAAAAATTAGGTTTTACAAGTTATTCACTGTTAACTGTTTTTCTTTTATATAAGCAAGAGTGATATTGATGTTTTGTCTTCCAGAAGAGAACAAGTGTCTAATTGCAATATTTTCTTAATCAATGGTTACATTGTGTCCTTGCCTCTCTACTGTTTAGCCCAAATGTTGAAAAACATCTTAGCCAAAATAATACAAATATATATTGAAGATGCGCATGCACTCACTGTGTGTGTATATACACATAAATATATTAGGGTTTTAAATGCTCCAGTATAAGTGACTCTGCTTCACAGACCTGATGCTCTAATGAATTTTAATAACTGTAATTTTTATCTCACCTGTTAAACATTTAAGCATTTTTAATTTGAACTTGGTTATAGCCCTGGGGTAAAAATTGGGATTTCTGAAGTGTCTCTCCCAGTGAACATATCAAACCCCTTTCCTAGTTTGGAACACAATTCTTTTATCTATTTCCCAGATTCACAGTATAGATTAGAATGAATAATATTACTGATGCACGATGGAAATTAAGAGTTAGGAAATTAGACTAATAAAGACCATATGTAGCTAACAAAATTTAGTGAAGGAAAATGAAGAAATGCCTCTCAACCTGTGTGTTGTGCTACAGTGCCTTTCTCTGTATAGACAGCACGGATGTAGATAGGCAAAAATTAATCTGATCAAGATGCAGCTAAAATACCAGGGCGTAGATTTTGTGTGTGACCATTTATGCTTCCATATAAAACACAGAGGGTCAGCAGATTATAGACAAAGGGCAAGACTGCCAAAAGAAAACACGCCAAAATATTTCATAAATCGTATCAGAGAGAATGAACATTGTGCATTGCCACAGGGCTTTTCAGGAAGGGAAAACCTGAATGCAATGAATAGCTAGCTAATCTGATTGCAGGTAATTTATTACTGTGATTAGTGCTATATAGTCTTTCCTCAGGGAAGAGGAGAGAAATGTATGAGACTTCCTCTCGCTGCTCCCCTTTGCTGGGGCCTGGCTTTTGATGTGTTCGCATTTTGATGAGCGATGTTGCTCATCGCTGGCTTCCGAGCCGGCTCTGGAAAATGTGACTCGTTATGAAGTTGGGGAACTGGGTGGGGAGCCGGGTCAGACCTCGGTGCCCATCCTAGGGTCAGTGTGGAAGTGAAGCAAATCTTGTCTCATTGCTGGGAGGGGGACCTGGGTCTGCAGCCCGTGCCCCCACAGCCAGCGCTGGCTGCTCTCCGGCTCGTGGGCGACAATGTGCTGCTTAGCTAGAGCTTACGGGTGGCTGTTGACAGACTTTGGTCCCTGTGGGATTTCTCCTCGCGGGCCTGTTCTTCCTTGGTCCTGGGGTTTTTCACTGGTGGGGCTGTGCCCTGAGCTGCCTTGGGGCACAGGGAGAGAGCCAGTTATCTCCCAGGGATCCCCGGATCCTGCCTGGCTTTCAAGAACTGGCCAAGCTGAGCCCCTCCTTAGTCTTAAGAAAATTAACAGCTGTCTTGACACCAACTGTGGTAAATACTATTTGGTTTTCTGTACTGATTTCAGGTGCTTAAATAACTCGTCTAATGTTACATTTATGTGTTTTAATAAGCACTGATGCCATGAATGTTTGTCTTTATGTGTCCTGTGTGTCTTCAAATTAAGCCCTTTTTTTCAAAGTCTCAAGATAAAAAACCATTGACCTAAAGCAAAAATGTTCCAGACTTAAGTGGACATAACATCAGCAAAATGTGCAGATTTTCAAGTCTATCAAAATAAACAGGAGAAAGTGTAAAACATGGACATTTATCCAGTAAGATTGAGAATTTTTCTCTGCTAAAACAGGCAAATGTCGGTAACTTGGCAGAAACCTGAATTTAACTTCTCCATCCTACTTCTCTGAGAATTCTATCACATCTAGCTTGTTTTGGGGGATTGATAGTTATGACAAGCGTATCAAATTTCATGCCAGTGGTATCTTTTATGTTTCCTGAGAGAGGAGAAAATAGCAATTTTACCTTGTGCCCAGGAGTCACAGAGAGAAGGAATTGTAGGTACCTGCCACATTGAGTTTTAAAATAAAAACGAATTGCAGAGCAGCATGTAGCAAAGATGGAGAAGCGGAGGGAAGAGGGAAAGGAGTGAGGCATTAAGTGTAGAGGAGTATTTATTGCATCTCTCTCAGCTTTTAATCCAATGCAGCACCACAGAGTTATGAATATGTATGATCTGCATTTTGTTAAGATGTGAGATGTGTATGAAGATGTCTGCTTAGGTTTTTTTCAGGGGATTTGTAGCTTTTTGGTTTTCTGTCCAGAATTTCTCATTTTGCAGAGATCATGTTTATATACATATCTTGTGTAATTCCTGTTTCTGTGCTGTAAATGTTGAAAAGCAGAGGGGTTTGATTCCCCGTAAGTTAGGGAAAAGTTAATCTTTTTGTAAATTCTTACAGCTTTATGTTGAAACTTACTTTTTAAAAAAAGCACAAACCCAAACAATTTTGAAAGATAAGTTTTAAACTAGCAAAGCCACAGCTATTTAGGAGAACTGTATTCATGAGAAATATAGCATCCAATTCTGTGTTCCTGAGGGCAGATCGTGGGAGTACCAGAACTGGAAGATGAACCTACAGGTTTCCAAAAACATTTTTGCTGCCTTTATGAGGAAAAAACCAAACAACAAAACCAGCTTTTTCTAAGTGATTATTAGTAATTAAACACCAAAATGAGTGATTGGTATAAGCCTAGGAAATGAGGTTTATGGTGAAGGCAGTAGAAGTTAGCTTTGATGCAAGCTTAGGTGTGATTTTTGGCAAGCCAACAGTGGGACAGGTTTTGTAATAACAGAACCTAAGTTCTATGAAAACATCACAGAGTAGGACCATACTTTTAAAAGAGTTCAGCACCCCAAATGTTTATTTGGAAGACCTGGCACTGATTCTTGGTGTACCAAGTGATTAAAAATCTGTCTCTGAACTCCAGAAATCTGGCTCCATGGCCATGATCCATGTCTCCTTCCCAACACTGGGAACAGTTGCCCTGAATTGGGGTGATCAAGTCTGACGCTCATGGTAAATAAATGAACCACATTTCCTTTTTCCTACCTTATATCTTCTTTGCCTGAGTTTCATGGTTTCTTCTTACGGAAATGAGACACTACCATACACTGAATAAAATAATAATAATAACAACAATGACAGTAATAATAGAAAGTAGGTTGTAAGCGATTCGAAGCTGTGGGGAATGGGCTAGGTCTGCAATAAATGCCACTTGAACACAAATTAATCCAAATAACAGCATAATTTTAAAAAGCAGCTGTGCCAGCATCCTAATTGAGCCCCATGTGCCTGGTACCCTCACGACATCCCTGTGAGGTGTATTGCCAGCTCAGTCTCTGATCTGCCCGCCCAGTCACTCAAAGGGGGACTCACCGCGGAGTGTTCCTTTGGGCTGGGACTGGGAACTGCTGACTCTGACCCGGTCCCACGAGTAAGCGGCAGGACTCTGTCACATCTTTCACTAACCTAAGTCAGTGTCTGGGCAGCTGAAAGCAAGGGAGCAGTGGTCGTTTTTGCCACCTCTGGAGCTGGTTTGGTGCCTTCCAGCTTCTTTTGTTTAACTCCGCCGTACACGCTTTCTACTATGACATTGCTTTGTGTAGTGTTACTTTACATTTTAACACAGTTTCATTCAGTGGCAGAGAAGCAGCTTTAATAACTTCTCAACATGGAGATGCACACAGATCTTGGGTGTTTCATTCTGTCACTGCTAGCTGTCTGTTTATTGTGCCGACAGTGCTGGTGTGGAAGGAAAATGTGCTAATTAAGTCCTCTTTTTTTTGTTATTTCAGGAAACCTACCATATGAATATAAAATAGTGATTGCCGGGAATCATGAATTGACATTTGATAAGGAATTCATGGCAGACCTTGTTAAACAAGATTACTACCGCTTTCCCTCTGTGTCCAAATTGAAACCAGAGGACTTTGACAATGTTCAGTCACTCCTGACAAATAGTATTTACTTACAAGATTCCGAGGTAACAGTTAAAGGATTCCGAATATACGGTGCCCCATGGTAAGTCTCAATTTAACCTTTCTTTGCTGTTTATTGCTTGAACCACAGCAGGGATCATTCCAGTTGCAAATGCAAGAAGCTCTTTGTTGCATTGCCCTGCAGAACAGTATCAGACGTAGCTGCAAACCATTCTTAAACAATTGCCACATCTTTTGTGGGTAAACAGGCTATATTTAGCCACGTGTGTGAAATAAGGCAAAAGCAACTGTAATTATTTCTATTCTGCCTGCTGAATGCACTTTAAAATATTGCGGACTCGATATCCACTCAGTGCTTGGGGACTAACTGCGGTGGCACCTTGGTGCTTGGGAAGCTCCATGACACTGTATGCTCTTTAGGTATTTGTCTGCTGTGCTAGTAGATTTGTGTGGTCATATTTAAAACCCACACAGCACAAGGTACAAGGCAGCAGGTGCTTTAAGCATTACTTCTGGTCAGTTCGAAGCATTGTTTTCTTTTGCTGATAAAGTTGTCATAACGAAGTTTCAAGCCAGTTTCCACCCCTGTGCCAAGGATATGCAAGAAAAAAAATGCTGTCAAGTTTTGTATTTCTTTGTTTTTTCTACATGTTGTTTAATTGTGATGCCTGATACCTCTGTTTGGAGTCTTGGGTAGCACTTGTTTCATGTTCTCATGCTAACGACAGCCACAGTCCTTTCAGGCTTTACCAGAAACCTGAACTTCAGAGATGGTGATGGTCATTATGCTACGTGGTGTTCTTGTTTGTCAGCTATGATGTACTTAGATGCTAATGCACACCTACAGGAAGGGTCTGTTGTAAGCTTGTAACTTAAGGTTTTGATGTCAGGCTTGCTTTAAAGGTGAAAGGAGGAGAGGAAGGGGGAATGGTAGGGACCAAACCAAAGACTAGGGCAAACCTTTACAGGTATTGGAAATTTTCCCCTTCGTCTAATCTCTGTTGACGGTTCACTTGGCCCACAGGCGTTGGTGGTTCATACACCACCACACATGCTGATGCTTCTGACAATGCTTTTTTGGGTCATATTGTGTACATGAGTGCTGGCTAGAAATCTGTGATTTAGCGCTGTGTATCACTTTCTTGGCTTAAGCTACTGATTTTTACAATTTAATTCCTAACCTTCAGCTTGTAGTTGAAATCAGCCTGATATTGCTTAGCTTAAACCCCAAACAACTCCAAATCCTATGCTGTCAGCTAACTGGGAAAGATGATCTTAATTCAGATTGGGAATCATCTCTTAAAGACATTTCCGAATTGTTGATTTTCTTGGTCATCGCAGCATATAACATGCCAAGAAGACAGGGCACATAAGGCCTTGAGTGATGTGAGGTGGACTTGCTGCAAGGTGAGCCACCGGGTGAGCTGGAAGGCTGGCTGCTACGATTGTGGTTGTGCTCAGCTTCTTTCATACGTATGTCTCGTTCTCAGGCAGCTTGGAATCTGCAGGCATCCAGTGATTATGAAGTATAATGTTTTCAGATTTATTTGGGGCAGATATACCTGAACTCTGTTTACTGCTGGAGAGATCTGGAGAACGTAGAATCCAAGTCTGGGAAAGAGAGCGCTTGGTATTCTGAAATTGAGAACCATGTGATATGTTTTTACATTTATATGTACTGGCAAAATGTAGTGATCGTTTTTCCCCTCTTTTGCTTCCTGAATCCATAAAGGCAATCTGTTATCCTTTTATCTCCAGCTGCATTTAGAATTTCTTTAATTTTGCAGCTATACACATGACCTTAGAATGTTTGTTCTGAAATATTAAGGGATGCCATATCAAGGAACTGAGCTGTTTTAACTGTAACAAGAGAATGTGTTCCGACCTAGTCATGGAAGACAAATCTTAATTATTCCTCGCTATAATCCGTTGCTAACTGGAATTTTCCAATTAGTGACCAATGGGAAATGAATCTAGATTGCTAGAAAGGCACACTGAGCTCCAACTAGTTGCAAAGTTCTCTCTCCTGAAGGATATTTCATTTGTGTTCAGCTGTGAAAAACTGTTGTCAAAGTGTGTTTTCAGCAACTGTTAATGCGGAGTTGAGGCTAGCATTTTGAATATAGCGTTTTAGATCAGCTAGTCTGTATTCAGATAATAGACAGTGTCCCTCTTTTTCATTTTTCATATAATGACGGTTTCTGGAAAATGAGAAAATTCATCTCGTTTCTTGCATTTTAGTTAGTTTTAGAGAGAAAGGAAAAGTCATATCAGATAGTGGAAAAATCTGTTCAAATCTGTTCTGTGCCTGGAAACTGAGACAGAATGATCAGACAAGCCTGTTAGCACTACTTTCCCCCCCTCCCCCCCTCCTTCCTCTCCAATTGCATATCACTCTACTACTGTAAATCTTCAGATTACCCCAAAGGAAGAGAATTTTGGGGGGGGGTGTATATATTGATGGCCTCCTTGTCCCAATTAGTTCTGTCACAGAAGTAGAACACTGGTCATTAACCCAGAAGATGCTCCAACCCTAAAATGAGATAAATTGACATGTTCAATTTTTGTCCATTTCCAGTATTTCCAGAGGGAAAAAATTTCTCATTTGCAGATAAAGCTACTGGTTTTAATGTAAAAAGAAGGATCGAACCAAGAATAACAGCTGTGATTCTGGAGATTTCAGCCTGTCAGGGGTTTCTAAGAAGTAATTGCCAGAATTCTGGGAAAACTGGCTATAAGTCATCTATCTATTTAGAAAATGTAAATTGCCAACTCAGTGTAACTACAGAAGAGAAATATCAGTCCATATTCATTACATGTTATTACTCATGGTACATCTGAAAGCTTTCTAAAGACCTAAGAGAATTCAAGTAGTGCCTCCTAACTTACAATTTACTAGAATTTGTGTGTGGAAAATAACTTACAATACACGGGAGCATTCATGTGTATTTGCAATCGGAATGTGCGGTGGTGCATATCAACAGCCTCTAAGGAGAAGAAAATTTGAATTTAGTCTGATGATTCTGGGAGTATTAAATGGCGTTAGCTGGAGGGGAGTTGAAAACAAGAGTATCAGCCCCTAAAAGAGAAAAGAGCAAAGGTGCGACATGAATCGTGTTCAGAGCTCTGCTCTTTTTCAGAGGCGGGGAATGTAACTGACATTTTCACGCCTTAAATAGGAGATTCTTTGATGCACCTTGAAGGAGCAAAATGGCTGAAGATTTTCCATTTGGTCTGTAGATAACAATCCGCAAAAAACATTTCCCTCCCTTCTCTTCCTTCTGACTTTGCCCTGTGAACCTGACTTGTGTGGTGGGAAAATAATTGATAGTTTATGCAGTCAAAACTCTTAAAGATTCCAATGGGAACATTTTCTCCTTTGGAAATTTGAGATTGAGGCTACTTATTGAACAGGACAAAAAAATACACACAGTAATGGATATATGAATTTTTAAGTCTTAAAACACCCTTTGTGAAGTGTACATAAGCATAACTCGTACTGATGTATCTGTAAAAGGGTAGGGAGAGTCTGTTTGCTCCTGCTTCGAGTGTTGAATGTAAGTGAATATAAGTTATTTAAATTCAGATGTTGTTGTAAAAAACATGGTTTTTTAAATTATATTTGAAATTGTTCATCCATACTAATGACTGAATTTACTACAGTGTGCTATAGACATTTGAATACAAATATTCTAGCGATGTCTGTTTTTTAATGAAGCTTTTAAAAGCATTCAAACCACCAGAGAACTGCAGTTAACTGAAACCAGAATTTGTTTAAACCACGTTTTGACAGAAATAACTGTTCAGGGAGAATATTTTTCTTTTTTATTTTCCTCTGCTCTTTGACTCTACAGGTAGCTTTTTTGGTTTGCTTGAAAGACAAAAATAATGGAAATGAGACAGTGTTCTGATAAACTTTATTTGGTGTGCGTAGAAATTTGTGGTGGTTAATGTCATGAGTAAGAAGGCAATAGGCTTATTTATATATTTTAAATTCTGTTCTCCGTAAAATTTCCACCAGAAAAAATCACTAGCCATAAGTATAAAACAATCTAATAAAGTAATAATTTATGGGTTTTCAGCTATTAGGGCAAATTCCACTCACATCTAGCAGATTGAAAAGTAAAACTGAAGATCCAAGACTGTCAGCTATGTATATATATAGGTAGATGAAAGTTTTTGAGGGAGGAAAATGTTTACTATAAAAGCTGATTCAATACAAATCAGTGCAATGTAATGATTAATGAAATCAGCTTTATGGAAATAACTTAAATCTTTTATGTTTGTGCTTTTAAGTAACGATTGAAATCTGCAGTTTGCATCATTGTGATGAAAATCAGTTCATCCTGAATGAAGGCAGGACTAAAGCTCTTCCCTTCTGACAGGAGCAGCAGCATTGTTCAGCAGTATCCTGCACGTTTGTAAAGTTGCAGCTTGCTCAGGTCTCAAGAACAGAAGCACAAAGCTGGCCTCCCAGTTGCTTTTAATGAATACTGGTGGGTTTTTCCTATGTCCAAGAATTTGATCTGTAGGGTGATCCAGAGGTCAGGAACAAACGGCTCACTATTGCTCACCTCTGTGGAGCTAAGGCTTTCATTTGCTTTTTTTAGTAACTCTAGAGGAAGTGCCTTAACTCTTTTTCAGAAGCAAAATTTTAATTGGCATAGATAATGCAGCCATAAGGAAGTATAGACAGGATCAGCCATCTCCTTTAAAAATAAAGTTTTGTGCAATGTTTTTCTTGTCTTTTTTAGACCGGTGTAAATTTGGGGGGTTTCATGAAATGGTTTTGCATCAGTTTGAAATAATTGCAGTAACTCTGTTTCTTTCCCCACTTCATTTGCAATTATATTTTAATACAAATAGCTCTGAGTTAGTATCTCTGCCTCATTCTGATCAGTGTTTTCAGATTTTGTGTTTATCCTGTCAGAAAAGCATCAGATGTTGGTGTGTTGTTTTTTTCTTTCTTTTCAATTATAAGTTTTGTAATGCATCATGGATTTTGCTGACAGTCTTCAAGTTCTCGAAATAGCAAGCAAATTAACAGCAGATATTGAGCGTGAGGACTGGAAAACCAATTGG